ACGCACACTTAGCTCTACTCATGTATTTCTCAAAAATGCCTCTCGCAAACAATGTTTTCTTTGACCATTGGGCGTACACTGTTAGTGGGTTGTTGGTGTATACCACTTGCAGTTCCGTCATCTCAACCTCATCTCTGCTGTTCATATTTCTATATTTGTCTGTCTTACTTTTTCCTCGTGATTAAATGACTGTTATTGTGTCGATGTGTGTGTCCATACTCAAACAAAATATGTGGGTGGTTGGCGGGTGCTTTGATGTGGTTTGCTTCCTCTTTTATGTTTGTTACTCTCTTGTAACACCTCTAATCTTCTGGCGCTCATATGACCCTATGCAGTTACGAGCGCCGTAAAACTTGTGCTAAAACTAAAACTAAAAACAAAGTATAGATCTGCAGTTAAATCTCACTAAGGGGGCTCTCGTAGCCTAGAGGTTAAGGTGTTCGTCTCTCATTCAATACCCCCCGGGTTTGAATCCAGACAGGGACGGATGATTTTCTTCTCTAAATTGTCTCTTTTCACATTATTTCCTGCTCTCTAGCAATATTCTGTCGTCTGCTTTCGTTTCCTCTTTCTACCCCTACCCCCTCACCTCCTTTGCCCCCTCTTCTGGGCCCCCGACTCTTTCTACAGCCTTTCTACTGCTACTCCTTGACTCCTCCTTACTGCTGTCGTTCAGCCACACCCATTATCTTATGATAAGAAAAATCTATACCTAGCCTTCTCGGACAAGGGCGAAAAAATCTCAGAGGTCCAGTGTGCAAGTTGTTCAAATTAAAGATTCCTTGGGAGTCCAAAATCGATAAGAGTAGGTTTCGGCCGCCACCCGGGCAAACATTTTTAATTTTGCTACCTTCTGAAAATGTTCAATGTGTCCCTCGCGCTCATATTATAACCTTATGCAGTTGCGAGCGCCGTAAAACACTTACAAACAAGAAAAAACATTCTCACTAACTAAATGTCATTGGCAGTATTTAATTGATTCTCTATTTTGTTCTGCTCCTCTCTCCCTACCTTTGTCCCTGTGGTGCAGGGGTTAAATGCTTCACCGTAGACCGCAAAACACTTGAGTTTCAATTCTCGTGTGTGGGAACATAAAATTTCCCTGTGGGATAATAAAGTATTATCGTATCGCATCGTATCGTATCTGTATCGAGTTTCTTTAAAGGTTTTGAAAATGGGTATTCCAATGTAAAGCGCATTGAGCTACTTTTTTGTTGGAAATGCGCTATATAAATGTTAGATATTATTATTATTATTATTATTATTATTATTATTATTATTATTATTATTATTATTATTATTATTATTATTATTATTATTATTATTGTTGTTGTTGTAATTATTATTATTATTATTATTATTATTATTATCATCATCATCATCATTATTATCATCATTTATTATTATTATTGTTATTGTTATTATTATTATTATTATTAGTCTTGCTGCTGGGACGTTGTATCCCTCTCAGCCCGGATCTGCAACCTGCCTGGTGTATTTTCTGTAAATAATGTCGACTTGTAACGGGGTTTTTTTTAGTGAAGGTAGCACTTCTTTGTGGAAATGCGCTATATAAATACAATGTATTATTTATTATCAAGGAGAGAGGTGGAGTTATTAAACCACCCACAACTACAACAATTGCAATAATCACGTTTTTTCTCCCTGTCTCTGTTTCCCCAGAAGTCAGCTCGAGACCTCCTCACTGCTCACAACATCATCATCCAAACTTTTCACGTGCGACCTCCCGTTACACAAGCCTGACTCTCTTCACGCCCAGCGCTCTGGAAGTCTGCTCAAGACTGCGCTTACGTCACAAAACACAAAGAAACAGTGCGTCACAGGAGTCACAGGACATAAAGGTTCCTCGTTCGTTCCGGGCGTCGTCATAGAAATATATCTGTCCTAGATCTCTCCGGTGACGTGTGACAGTGCGTCACTCTAGGACATAAAGGTTCCTTGTTCCGGGCGTCGTCATAGAAATATATCTCTCCTAGATCTCTCCGGTGACGTATCTCTCTTCCACTACAAAGACAAAGCACGACGGATTTTCCAACTCTCTAGTGTGTATTTTGACAAGCCGTTCTCAGACCTGTTTCCGAGAAAGCTCCTAAACTGATGCTCAGCACTGGCATAATAGTCAGATTTTTTTTAAATTGAAATATTTAGAGCAGTTGTGAAGAACTGTGTAGTGGTAAACAACAACTGTTATATTATAGAGACCCAAGGAACAAACACATGATAGATGTAATTGTGTTGCAAGGGACGTAATAAAATCTCACTTACACTAAACTAAAACTCTGCGCACTCATGTGACCTTATACAGTTGCGAGCGCCGTAAAAGTCATACTAAGACTAAACTAAAAACTAAAACACTAGCTGTTATTCTGAAATACACTGGTGATAAATTGTAATACGTGTATTATCGTTATCGTGATCTTGTACCTCCACACTAGCAGACCACATTGAGTCGATAGTGCCGTACTCAAACTCAAACTCAAACTAGCAGGCCACCGTCTGTGCTGTTAGGGTCATGTTCTTCGACGCTACATGCAAGAGGCGTGAGTTCGATTCCCATGTGGGGAAGTTATTTATCAACTACCTCTGTCTGCTGGGAAGTTGTATCAGTATCACCCCACTCTGCAACGGTTGGTCTTGACAGCTACCTTCCACCACTTGATTCGAATTTGCCCCCGCCTTCTAAATGATGTACGCACGCCGTGTTGAAAAGAGCTTGAATCATTCGCAGCGATAAAGAAAACCACGGGGAGGAGAACAAGGCAATACAATGTCCGACAATGACCCCTGGTCTTTGAGACCTCCCGGCCTGGCTAGCGCGGGAAGAGAGGAGGGGGAGGGAGAAGACATTCTGGGAATGAACAAATCTGCCCGGAATACCGGGGCCGGTCACAGACATCGACATAATAAACACAATCAGCTGGCGGGGGCGTTGTCCGAGGCTAGCGCTGATGGTGCGGCTGGTGGGGGCGGGGCCGGTCATGGTAATGTTGACCTCAACAGGGGGTCAAACTACGCGGCGTCCGCCTCTTCCCCGGCCGCTGACTTCCGAGATTACAGCCGTGACATTGGGGTCAAAGGTGAGTTCCAGGACGCGTTGAAGGAATCCAGTGCGTTCAATAGCAGCGCGCTCTACGACAGGTTGCTTCGCGGAGGAAGACCTCGTTCGGATTTTCCCGTTTCCGCTCCGCGAAGAGTAATCGGTGACGGCGACGACGATTTTTTCGGACTTCCCGGAAGTAACGGGACTGTGTCTGATGACGCCAGTGGATTGTTCTCAGGGATGGTGAAGAATCCGATGAGGCAAAATTCTCAATTTCCTTTGTCTAATAATACGTACAGCATTTCTGACCTTGACCTCGGCTCTGCCAAGAGTGACCCTGACATTGATTCCACGATACCGGTTCATTATACAGAGTACGATATTATGAATCTAGGAAGAGGAGGAGGAGACGGAGGAGGAGGAGGAGGAGGGGGAGGAGGAGGAGGAGGGGTAGTTGGGGGTTATAGCCCTGGAACACAAGATCTCTACGATATCCACGCCAACAATGACGCTGACACATTCTACAGAGACGTTTACGACGACGAAAATGACGCGGAGTACCAGGTGAATCACATTCTTCCGATCAACGCCGATGAGGGGTCAAAAACGCCGCATTTCGACGCGGAATTTTTCCCGGAAAGTGCAGGTGATTCAGAAGACAATCTTTCTTTCAACAACACTTTATTGAACCCGTCATCAGGAGGAGTTTTCACGAATCCGAAAAATGACGCGGCGTCCTACTCTTTCTCCTTCCCCTCCTGGAGTGCCTCCTCACCTACGGGTGCGGGCACTAGTGACGTTTTCAGCAACTCCCAACCCCAGCCCGTTCCAAACTTTGACCTCGACCACCTTCACAACTTGACCTTACGAGGGGGGTCAGAGTTCAACATCACACCTCTCGTTGACCCAGAATACACGAACGTCCTTTTCGATCAGGGCACCCGACTGGCACCCGACTACGATTACAGCATCGTTGCTCACGCAGCGGCCAATAACTCTTCAATTTTTGGCGGGAATATTACAGATCTTCTGATGGCTAATGGAGGGCGGGAAGATGAGTACACCTGGAGTATCTTGATGATGGCGCCACTGGTCGTGTTCGGAGTGGCGGGGAACACACTGGTCATCCTGGCTATCTCCCTGGAGAAACGGCTACAGAACGTGACCAACTACTTCCTGTTGTCTTTGGCGGTGACTGATCTCCTGGTGTCGCTGATTGTCATGCCTTTCTCAATCATCAACGTCTTTACAGGTATGTGTGTGTGTGTGTGTGTGTGTGTGTGTGTGTGTGTGTGTGTGTGTGTGTGTGTGTGTGTGTGTTATGGTGTGTGAGGGGGGAGGGATGAGGGGGAGGGGGGTAAGTGGTGATGGCGGTGACAGATCTCCTTGTGTTCCTGATTGTCATGCCATTATTTGTCATCACATCTTTACAGGTATATGTGTGTGGGGGAGGGGGAGGAGGGAGATGGGTAGAGATTGTCTGTGTTGTTGTTATTGTTGAGGTGGTGGTGGTGCTGTTGTTTTTGTTAGTATTATTGCTGTTGTTGTCGGTGGTGGTGGTATTCTGTCTTCATGCAGACATCCGTCCAAACGTGGTGGTCACAAATGCCTAATATATTTAAAAAATCAAAACATTTTAAAAACTCAAAACAAAACTAGAAAACAAGACCATATAGATGTTACATAAAAAAAACTATCAAAGAGATCATCCAAACAACGTCGCTTACGTATGTGGTTGGCGGGTGTTCTGGTGTGGTTTGCTTCTTCTTTCCTATCAAAAATCTATCGTCCTTATCTCCCCTTCTTCTTTTTTTTATATTTGTTACTTTCTTGTAACACCTCTAATCTTCTGGCGCTCATATGACTTTATGCACATGCGAGCGCCGTAAAACCTCTACTTAAACGAAACTAAACGTCGCTTACATTCAATTTTTGCCCA